CCCTGCTGTCTCCTGGGGACACACCCACACACACACACACACACACACACACACACACACACACACACGTACAGGCGCACAAACATGGAGAATGCTAAACAGACACAGTAACTTGTATATATGTATTTGCATATACCTATATGTTCATACTGTAACAATAATAGTTAAAAAAAGATATCATGAACTTAGGATGAGGACATGGGAGGAGAAGGTTAGAAATGAGCTAATGCTCTTGTATGACGCTCTCGAAAATTATCAAGCAAACAAAAATGAAGTAAAACAAAAGCCCAGCCCCTCCCCATACCCTGCTACCACCTACCTAAACAACCCAAATAAGCAATAGCTTGATTGAAGGCAGAGGAACAGAGCAAAGTGAAATCCTCTGGCAAGGGCAGTACCCTGGCCCTGGGGTGGTGGGGGAGAACTAATTTCCATGTGTATCTGCAGGTGAATATACAATTATGACTGCCCATTTCCACCTGAAGAGGAAGATCGGGTACTTTGTCATCCAGACCTACCTTCCCTGCATCATGACAGTCATTTTATCCCAGGTGTCATTTTGGCTAAATCGAGAATCTGTCCCAGCTAGGACAGTATTTGGTGAGTACCTCTAAACCAGGCCTTGGCATTGGTCTAAACAATAACAACTAATGCCACAGATACATTTGACCTGTGTATTAAAGGCATAGTCCTTATTATGTAGCATTGTAGAAAAGGATTTGGGAGATGGGAATGAGCTCATCAGGGCAAACAGACAGGTTCATTCAGGAAAACCTGAAAAAGGCTCACTCCATGCAAGTAGTGAAAGCTTCTTTCTTGTGGATTAGGGGTCTTTTTATTAGGTTAGGAGGAAGAAACAGGAAAGAGGCTCCATGGGATGTCAGCTAGCTAAGCTCTTCTTTTGCAACAGGATCATTTTAGGTGTGTCTCAAGAGCTTAGAGTGTGCTACACAGCACCATGCTGGTCTTAATTCTACAAAACATGTTTTGTAGGACACTGTGCTTCTTCTGGGAACCAGATGTTCAGGTTTAAGATGTTGGTGCAATTGGTTTATCATTTTCCATCTTGGTACTATTTGGAGGAGCTGGAACTTTTACACAATAGGGCCTAGTATAAGTCAGACCATTAGGGTTATGGACACCATGAAATGATATCCTTTGTTCCTTTCCATGCTCCTGCCATGGCTGCTATTCTACTTCAGGCAACAAATCAAAGGAACCAAGTGACCATGACCTAAAATCCCCAAAATGTAAACCAATTCTTTCCTCTTTTTAAGTTAATTATCTCAGGTATTTTGTGACAGTAATGGGAAGCTAACTAATATAGTTACCGTATTTCTTATTACTAGCTATCCACTGTGACCTGGGAAACAAACTGATCAATTAGTTAAAATTTTAAGAAAAAATGAGATTTTTCTTTGAATGAGAGTTTAGGGAATAATATTTGTTCTGCTTGATAATCATTTCCACTTCCATAGAAAATCTTTCTTCATTAGAACACCATTTGAAGATGTGAAATGATAAGCATCCCTCCCCTTTTTTGTTCCTTCCTCCCTTCTATTGGAGAGCAAATTCAGATCCTTATGAATAGTGGGCAAGTAGTTTATCACCAAACTACACTCCTGGGTTAAGCACACTGGTATTTTCCAATCAGGTATTTATTTGTAAATTTTCATGTGGTTCCCTTTGAAATGTACATCCTACCTTAAGATTGTCCACAAAATACAGTCATCCATTATACACTAGGGCATCCTCCATATGGTAGTATGGAAACACGCTTCCAATTGTCTGTGACTGCAGGCACTGAGTTCTCAGACTCACCCAACCACAGATGTGAAATGCCAGCCCATCTGTACTAAACATGTACAAAAAGTTTGTCTTGCTAGTATTTCCTAAAAATACAGTACAGCAATTCTTTACTTGACAATTACATATATGAGCTATTGTAAGGCATCTAGATATGGACCATTATATGTAAGAGACTTCTTGAAGGTTCTATGCAGAGGATGTGCCATTTTGTATGAGACTCCAGTGTTTATGGGCTTGGGAATCCCAGGCAGTTCCTAGAGCCTGTCCTCAACAAATGCCAGATGGTGACTAGTGAATGACATTTCCTGGGAGGCATGAGAAATGCCTGTTCATCCCAGGTGAGTCACTAATGACAGACCAAAAGAAATGATTCCCCCTGATCTGTCTTTGGTGAGCCAGTGAGTTCATCTTATTGGGGTAACTTACAGGATCATAGGTGGGAGTTTCCTTTTAGAAACAACCTGATGATGCACGAGAGCTGCATCCCTGTCAACATGCAGGCAGTTCCATAAATAGCCTACGCTCCCCTGACAATTATTCTCTGCTCATATAACCTGAATGAAGGGCCTTGTGACTCTTACAGCCTTTAAGCTATATGAGACTTGTAAGTTTCTGAGGCAAATTCGTGAGTCTTATGGGTCTCCCAGGAATAAATGTTTCACTTGAGAGGAAATGTAGGAATGATATGATTGAAGAACACCCTAGGAAACTATCATTGTGTGTCCCTAAGACATTAGATACAGCAAGATCTAGCTTAGGAAGATTATTTGCCATAGTAGATGATTTGACTCTCTCTCACCTTGAAGCTCACTGCACTAATCAGCTTTCTGTTACTGTAACAAAGCACCTATGTTTACCATTCTTAAAAGAAGAAAGAGGCCAGGCGTTAATGGCACACACCTTTAATCCCAGCACGGGAGGCAGAGGCAGGTGGATCTCTGTGAGTTTGAGGCCAGCCTGGTCTCTAGATTGAGTGCCAGGATAGGCTCCAAAGCTACACAGAGAAACTCTGTCTCGAAAAACAAACAAAAAAAAAAAAAAAAAGAAGAAGAAGAAATAATTCTTTAGGCTCACATATTTAGAGATTTTAGTCTGTGGCCATTTGTTTATGTTGATTTTGGGCCTAGGGCAAGGCAGCATATCATGGCAAACATCTTCACCTCGAGTGGCTAGTGTCTGTGTGTGCGCACGTATAGGTGTGTGCATGTGCATGTGTGTATGTGTCAGAGACAGAGACAGAGAAAGACAGAGGCAGAGAGACAGAGACAGTTCGAGGCAGGGACAATGACAGTCAAAGGTATAGACATTGTCTTCCTGATGGTTTGTATTGCTATGAAGAGACACCATGACCATAGTACCTTATCTATAGGGAAACATTCAATTGAATAGCTTACACTTCAGAGATCCAGTCCATTGTCTTGATGGTGGAATGGGACATGGCAGCATGCAAATAGACATGGTGCTGGAGGAGGAGCTGAGAGTTCTTCATCTTTCAGGCAACAGGAAGTGGTCTGAGGCACTGGGTATGGCTTGAGCATATATGAACCCTCAAAACCCACCATTACAGTGACACATCTCCTCCAACAAGGTGGTACATACACCTCCTATTTGTGCCACTACCTATGAACTTATGAGGGCCAATTGCATTCAGACTACTGCAGACATAAAGAAGCTGAAAGGCAAAGAGACAGAGACAAAGAGAAGCTGCACCCCAATGTCCCCTTTTAGGGTGTGACCCTCTCCATGACTGGAAGACTATATGCTACTCTCCACCACCAGGGGCTGGAATCTAACCTTTAACACTAGGGACCTTTGGTCTGAGACTTGACTAACTGACAGCACTCATTCTCCCACTTAAGAAGGTATACAAAAGGCAATTTTGCAGATTGGTTGTGACAACCGAGTATTATATCTTTGTGTACTGTGAAGTACAGCTCACATATTAGCTCCTACATCTACAGTATTCCTTTCACAGTAAGAAGGTGTTTGCATGCAACTTAAACTGATGGTATATAAGAAGACCAAGAGCCCTGGGGCCCCCTGCTCATCACTCTGATCCCAGCTATCAACTTCCTTACCAGGACTTGATTTAGAATATGTAATCAAGGTGTGGAGAGTGGCTCGTGGCCAGGAGGTCCTCACTCACCAAGTTGATGGGCTTAATAAACTCTTAGTGGACATTTATTACTTAGGTCAGGGAAAGTGTAAACAATACTGCCTGTGATTGTCTATTTCCCCTTGAGATTCCCAGCACATGCTCAAACATTAAATGACCCAAGAGGAAGCCTGTTTAAGCAACTCACTGAACTATTTCCTCAGCATAAGTCATTGACAGAATTGCCAAGAAAAATCAAGATGTCAAATCAAAATGTCTCCTAGGTATTAATTCCACATAGGTTTTATGTTCTGTGAGTTGCACGTCTCCTAGCTGGCCCACCATTGGTTCTGTAGTATTCCATTGTAGTACTAGTTTCCCATGGCTTCTGTAGAAAGTTCTATTAGTGGCTGGCTTAGAAACATACCTTTGTTGTCTCAGGGCTCTGATAGGTAAGAACCCAAGATCAAGATGCTGGCAGGGTTGGTTCTTACTGTGAGGCTTAAAGGATTCTCCGATCCTAGAGTATGTTTGGGCATTTTGTAGGCCTAGGATTTGTGCTTGCACACCCCCAGTGTTTTCCCTATTTGTGTACTTAGTCAGAATTTCCTCTTTTGTTGTTGTTGTTGTTGTTGTTTTGTTTTTCAAGACAGGGTTTCCCTATGGCTTTGGAGGCTGTCCTGGAACTAGCTCTTGTAGACCAGGCTGGTCTCCAAATCACAGAGATCAGCCTGCCTCTGCCTCCCGAGTACTGGGATTAAAGGCTTGTGCCACCACCGCCCTGCTCAGAATTTCCTCTTTTAAAAAATGTCAGTCACACTGAATTACAGCCCACACTATCTGCTTATGTCATTGCTTCTTCAGAGCCTAGTTTGTTATAGGGTTACAATCTTAGGTAGTTGAGATTAGGACTTCAGTGTGCCAATTTGAAGGGCATCATAATCTGACCCATGACAGGTACATATCCCATACACAGGTCCATGTCACAGAAGTATGGAAAAAGAGAGACTGTCTAGATTGTAAGAGTCCCCAGTCCTGACTCCAGAGATGGGCTGTTTCTTCACAAGGTGGACATTTTGGTACACTGTTAAATGCCTATAAATTTTCAGCTCTTTCTGCATGGTTGGTGCAGTATACCCTTAGTAGCTTAAGTCAGACCCTCACACTTGTCTGGTAACACAGATCTGCCCATTGTAAAGCCAAGCAACATGGCCATGTTGTGGAGCACTGCAGTGTCTCTCTAGAACCACAGAAGACTGAAGCAGATATTGCCCCTTTGAAAAGGTGAAGTTCCCATCCTGCCCCAGTGATACCGGGTATCTCCAACATCTCCATGCAGTCAATGTACACAAAAGGAACACATTGAATCATTCTGTCCCAGCCCATGGCTTATAAGCTTCACAGTAAATCTCTATGAGGCACACTGAGTCCTGTGTGAAGGTCACTGCCACTTTTCCAGTGTTCTTGCCTTAGTCCCACCGAGACATACCACTCACCCAAAACATCTTTGCAAGTATCAACAATTTCTCAGACCTATCCATGTAAAGAGCACATAGTTATACACAAATCAGACCAAAATCCATGCCTTCCTCAACTTGTAGTATAGAGAAAGGGGACAGTGGGAGCAATTAATTAAGTAATGTTTTCTCTGCAGAAAATGTGACAACCACAGGCACATTTGGGGAGAAAGAAGTTAGCTGAGGCTAAAGAAAGAGGTCTTGTGTTCTGTCTTGTTTAGGGAGGGAGTTCTGGGAAAGAACACTGATTTCTGTTCCCATGTTGTCTTCTGCCCTCTCCCCCCTTCTCCTCTGAGCAGGAGTGACCACAGTGCTGACCATGACAACACTCAGCATCAGTGCCCGGAACTCTCTGCCCAAAGTGGCCTATGCCACAGCCATGGACTGGTTCATTGCTGTCTGCTATGCATTTGTCTTCTCTGCTCTGATTGAATTTGCCACTGTCAACTACTTTACAAAGAGAGGATGGGCCTGGGATGGCAAGAAGGCCCTGGAAGCAGCCAAAATCAAGGTAATGGATGGCTTATTACCCTCCTTTTTTTTTTTTTACAGGTTTTATTGACAAAGGAAGTGGGTCTAATTTTGGGTTCAAATATTCAGTAAGGGATTTCCTTTCCCCTCTCCTTCCATAATGATCCTTCCACTCATCTGCAAGTTCTTACAGATGGTCTAATTTATTTTAAACCAATTTCATTCAAGTAAAAGGTCTGGTGTTCAGTGAATGGCTTGGGCTTGCTTATATTCAACTGGTTATTTTTTTGTAAAATAATCCTGGCTTCCTAGGGATTATGTGTAAGGGTTTTAACCTCAGCTCACACCACAGCATGTTCTTTTGTTCACTGGGTCATGCGCTATGCCTTCTTTGAAGTAGCCATCATATCTTGGAGAGGATGGACAGCTTAATAGAAGTTGTCCATCAGCCAAAAGACCCAGTGCTCCAAGGAAATGATTTGTCCCCCTCAGGCTGTGGGCATGATAATGATGTGAAGCATCACACAGTCAAATGATCGTTCATTGCACACCTCACACATAAGTTTGCCCGAATCTAAAAAACAATTGAGAGGAAAGAGCAGCATGAAGTCCCAAGCTGAATTGCTTCCCAGGGGGATGAGAAAATGGATGTGCACAGAAAATAAAACCACCAATGATAACCTGCTAATCATTCTATACACAGAACAGATATTGAAGTGAGTTCATTGTACTGAGAGAAGGGGAGGTCAGTGCTTTCATGGGAAGTCTGAAAGGAAATCTTAATCTTTGCTCTGGGAAATAAGCCTGAAAGGAGTTCAGACAGGGTTATGCATGAATAGAGTTAGAGGTCCTGAGCCACACCAGCTGGCAAACCTGGGTGTTTTCATCCCATGGAGCCCATCTGGTTCTACCCCACTTTCAGCTCTTGCTTGTCTGGGATTGGATACTACATTTCTTTTCCTGAGAAAAATCCACAGGTTCTGACTTTACCATGAACCATCCTCTTTTCAATACAGTATTCTATTCCCCATTCCCTGTGCTATTCATAGAGTCATACCTCAAAATTCTGGTGGCTGTGTAAGAGGACAGGGTTTCAGGAACAGGGAGACAGGAGAAAGAAGGCTGAAAAGTCTTGCTTGGAGGTGTATCACAGCCTAACTGCTAAGTTCTCTCTACCCCTAAGTGGAAGTTTTGAAAACATGCTAACACTGAGCTTTTTCATCCAAGCTCACTTGATGTCTGACTGTCCAGTGCACTTGCCACATGCCTGTTATTTCTTCATATTGACTATTTGGTTTTGTTTTCAGGGTCTGGGGAGACACACTTGATTTGGCTGTTGTGATTGATCTGTAGGGAGCTGGGGAAACATTTGTAGAGACAGGGTGTCCTTAGACTTTTAGACTTACAAAGGGTAGCTAAGGCAGCCAAGAAGGCTGTTTGTTGGGAAGAAACCTGAATAATGTATAAAGATGGAGTTAACCAACCTACTTCATGTTACTGGAAGGCAAATGCTTGCTGGCTTCCTGGATGATTAAGAGCTTATGTGGTGGTAGACTGGAGTTTGTCAGGTCTGAGTTGAAACACTATTGAGATGCCATTGCACAATCAAAGTGTAAGGCCTTCCTGAGTCCAGGTGGACTGTGAGGTCTTGGGCAGATAGCAAGACCCTATCTGCTGTTGGATACAGTACTGACACAATCAGGTCAGCTTCCATTAATTGCTCTTTTCTAGGTCTGTTTGAGGACCTGGGATAGGGCAAATGAAGGAAACATGGGTTGGCTAATCCTACACACATTGTGCATTTGTCAGCTCTATGGAACTTCAAGATAATGAGTTGTTCCCCAGTGCTGAGCCCAACGCCAATGCTGGAAAGGCTCTTTGTGTGGACATATTATGCTGTTGGGCAGGTCAGGCACACTATAAGACCCAGGGACTGAGTGAGAATGAGCACCCTAGTGGTGTTTCTGTGAGCTGATTATCACTAGTACAGAAAAGTGTAAGAACTCAGAAAACAGGCTATGTTCTCCATTGTTTCCTATCCCCGAGAAAGGAAGAAGGAGTGAGATGAGGCAGAAGATGATGATGCTCTGTGTTCAGGCTCAGCAGAGCCTCAGATAACCCATAGTGAATCCTTGAAGAAAGTCAGAGGACATGGCAAGGAAGTGATGCTTCTGCCTCCCTGGATGGCATGTGGGTGTTGAGTGACATTCATCCTGAAGAGACATGAACAAGCAACACTTACTCCAGATAGGAAACCAACCACAGACCGAAGTGCATATGGCTCTGAAGTCCAACACTGGGAACCAATGAGTTATTTTGGGGTTGAAGGAATAAGAGTGGGGAGTTGCTTACAGGAGCATAGCGGACTCAGGCAGCAGAATCACCAAAGCCCATAGGTGACAGCTTAAAGACGCTGGAAAGCTGGAGCACACTGCTCAGTCTGCAGACAGCTCCACAGCTTGGGAAGTGTCCATTCCAGTGAGTTCAGTTGGCTGGAGCTGCTTCCAAGGAACCTGTCTTCTGTCTGCTTCTTCTAGGTAGTTGCTGTGCTTTGACCCTTTACTAGGCAACTTGTCATGTCTGATAGTAACTCTTGGCAATCTTTGTTTGTTTTTACATCATGACCAAAGTTTCCCCTTCCTCCCCTCTTCCTAGTACCCCACCTCCACCCAACCATTCCTCCACTGTTTCTCTTCAGATACAAGTGGGTATCTCATAGATATCAGCCAGCCATGGTATATCAAGTTGCAGTGAGACTAGTTTGGGTGAGACAATATGATAGCAGGATGTAGGAGGAATGGGTCCCCTAAGCAGGCAACAGAGTCAAGAGATAGCCCCCACCTACTCTTACTGTTAGGAGTCTCATAAGAAGACCAAGTTACACAACTGTAACATATATGCAGAGAGCCTAGGTCAGTCCCACCCAGGCATGCTGGTTGTCAGTTAAGTCTCTGTGATGAGTCCAGGTTAGTTGATTCTATGGGTTTTTTGTGGTACCATTGACACCACTGGGTCATACAATCCATCCTTCCCCTCTTCCTCAGGATTCCCAGAGCTCCACCTAATGTTTGGCTGTGGGTGAAGCCTCTCAGATGACAGTTGAGCTAGGCATCAATCTAAGAGTATAGTAGAATATCATTAGGAGTCATTTCATTGACTTTTTTTCCCATTTATGTTTGATTCTATCCTAGGTCTCTGGGGTATCCTACCTCTGAGTCATGGTCCTCTGTTCTGGCTGGTGTGACTTATGCCTGAGTGGGGGTCGTCAAGTGGGGTCTGGGACAGGGTCCAGCAGCAATGAGCTGGGATTGTGTGGGCCCAAGGAACAGTGACTTTTGGCAACTTTACAGCTTATATATGCTTGGAGAGGATATGACTGGTGAATCTCATCAGCTTTAGGGACATACTGGAGGGATTTTGAGTTGTTTTGCTTCCTGAAGTCCAGTAGCTTGTGGTTCCCCCTCCCTCTAAACATGTTATGTCTTAATGACAGAACTCCAGGTTGGAAGGATTTGATCTCAGAGAAACTGGTACACAGTCAGGGGTGTGCCTTCTAAGGAAGGATGTAGCTAGAGAGGGTCAGACAGCTTTCCTTGGCTGAGGCAGGATCTGACTGTTGGCTTATGCTGCTAATAGCTGGACAGAAAGCTCTTTCTAGAAGAGGGATCCAGAGATGTATTTCCACATGGAGCACATGTACTTGAGCCCTTGTCCTCTGCTGTTTCAACCTGCTTCCATGCTCATCTCATGGCATCATGGCACAGCAGTTGTGGTTGGCTGTCCATGTCTGCAGGTCCCATAATGTTATTACAATCCTTCTGCCTTCTTGTAGTCTCCCCGGGTAGTCCTATACTCATTGCATCTGGCTTAGCGCTTGATTTTCCTTTATTCTCCTCTGCACCCCCATCCATGCCTTCCACTCTTTATCATCTTTCCACATCTTTAGTGGCTGACATAGTCTCCATAACTTACAATGCTGTATTTTACTTAAACTTTCTTAAATGAGATGAAATTATTTTGATAATGAAATTGAAATGAAAAAGTTAAACCAGCATTTTGTTATGTATATTTTCAAACATACATCAATTTTTAAAATGTTTCTGTTTCTGCTAGTAACATTTTACTACATTATAGCAATCCATGTATCATATCTAGCTATTCATCCATCCACCTAGAATCCATCCACTCATTCACAAATCTAACATCTGTACATCCATCATCTACCCATCTATTGTCCATGCATCCATTTATCATCTGTACACTCTCATCTGTTCATTGATGTATCTTTCATCCATCATCCATTTTATTTTTGTACATATGAAAATAAATTCCATGCATGCCATTAACAGCAGTTCAGTGTGGTTTACTATTTATTTTATTCTCTTGAAGGAAAATCTACCCAAACTGAAGGACATAAACATTAAGCATATTGTTGAATTCTTGCAAATATTCAGTCCTGTGTCGCCCAAATCCACGACAAATCATTAGGTTTTAGGGAGCTAAACATGTCTCTTTTTAAACATCTCCTATCCTCATCTCTCTAAATGTAACTCCAGTTCTGATTTTTCCACATAAAGTTTCTTCCTTGTTCTATAATTTCATATATAATAATAATAAAACAGAATCAGAACAGCGTGAACAAGAGTGTTGACAGTTGCTGAATCCAGAATAGTCAGAACTGGAGACAGCACATGTGCCCGTCAACAGGCGATAACTAGTTATACATTCTTAAAAGAAATATCATCCAACAATAAAAGGATAGAGTACTGTTGGAAGCAGCACATGGATGATTCTCAGAAGTACTTTCAGAGATAAACCTTGCACCAAAGACCACTGTAGTGACCATTTTTTAATCATTCTCTTTTTAATTCTCATTAGGTCAGTCTAGAATGTTTCTTACAGCAAACTACATAAAATACTCACTCACTCCCTCAGGCATACTTGAAGAAATGATTGTTGCTGTGTGGTGCAAGAGAGATCTTAATTCAGTTTATGATAGGTTGCTGAGAAATACCAAACACTAACATCAACAGGACTCTTGCTCAGCCACACCTATCTGCTGACTCTGAGCTTCTAGTCTGTGGAGACCTGCCTTCTCCCAGAGCTGAGTCATTGTTCATTTGTCTCTTCTGAAGATAGACCATGAGACGTTTAACAGGAGCTGGAAGGTGATGTATTTTTACCTTCTTATCATATTTTGCAGAAAAAAGAACGCGAACTCAAACTAAACAAGTCAACAAATGCTTTTACAACTGGGAAGTTGACTCATCCTCCAAACATCCCAAAGGAACAGCTGCCAGGAGGGAGCGGGAATGCATCCTCAGCCTCAGTGAAACCTTCTGAAGAGAAGACTGCCGAGAGTAAAAAGACCTACAACAGCATCAGCAAGATCGACAAAATGTCCCGGATTGTGTTCCCTATCTTATTTGGCACTTTCAACTTGGTTTACTGGGCAACATATTTGAATAGAGAGCCCGTGATAAAAGGGGCCGCCTCTCCAAAGTAAGCTAGGGAAAAACCAAGCTTCCAGGAAACAACACTCCCAGAGAAATGGAACCAAGGAGGGCCCAAGCTCACACAGACTGGCTGGGCGCTGTCTTTCAGGACATCTTGCATGTTTAATAATATGTACAAATAATATTGCCTTGATGTTTCTACATGTAACTTCAGATGTTTCAAAGATGTCCCCTTAATAAATAAAGCAAATGACCTTCTAGAAAAACAGGAGGCAACGACTGACACTCAGAGGCTCAGTTCCCTAACATCAATAGTTTAAAAACAAGATAAGTATATTTTTAACTGTTCCAAGTATATGATGTTTTTCTACTTCGAATGCCATTTCATACCGTTTTTCCCAGCTGACAACACATTTTAAGGAATCCCAGTGATGACTACTTGACAGCTGAAAAGAGCAAAGATCATGGGAGTGCACACTGACCATGAAGAGCAAACTGTGGACATTTAAGTCCAGTACTAATTGCCTTTAATACTTCGTGTTCTAAAATTAGTAAAATACTGCATGAACTGACATTAAGAAATAGAATAAGCAAACATTTATGCAGACAAATTTAATGAGAAGCACATAGTGTGTTAGATTAGCTGATCAAATATTTCCCTCAGAGGAAAAAAAAATGAACTGATTCAAAGTGAACTTTGATTTTTGTGGAAAATAAATTTATTTCTACAAGCTTAATAATGACTAAGAAAGAAAAGAAATGTAAAACCTTAAAGCAACAAGGTCTCAGTCCTTCTTGGCCTCAGCACGCTGTGTCCATCGTCTCCGGAACGCCGGCTCCTCTTGCTGCTGCTTCAGTGTTGAGAAATTGTTAATCAAGTTATTTTCCGTTTTATTTCCCTGTACATATTTCATGATTGGATTATCGCTCTGTTAGCTTTTGTATATGAATCTTAAATGTTCATTAAAAAAATTTAAAAATGAACTGAATTCAGTGTTTGATGAACTAACTTCCTGAAAATGACATAAAATCTTGTAAAAACTTTCTTGGAGAAAAAGAAACAAAGAATTAAAGCTTAGTGGGTGAGCCCTACTCTTCCAACCCAATTATGCAAGGGAAGGCATAGTGACAATACCTCTTGACGTGGCGAGTGTAACCAGGTAAAGCTAGCACCTCTTCCTACCACAGATCTCTGTGTGCTTGCCTCAGCACATTCCTAGTGTTTTCTACAAGCATGTTTACTACTGGTCCCATCCCTACACTCTCCCTTATTGGTCATGTCTGTACACCCTCCCTTTTAGGCCTGGTGATAGCTGGTTCTGGTTTTGTTCCCTTCTTCCTAGGTTTGATTACTGCTGATCCTGCCCTATCACCTCTCTTTTGGGTCTGGTGACTACTGGTTCTAATCATGCACCCTTTCTCAAAGGTCTGGTGGCTGCTGGTTCTAGCTCTGCACCTGCCTTCAGCTGTTTATGAAGAGCCAAAGTAGAGTCATTGGTTCATATACTTACTGTTTGAATAAATATCAGCAGGTTGAAAGAAATAGGTTCTGTCCTAAAATGGGAACTCCAGAATTGTAACAGAAGAGTTATAACTCTCAAGAAAATCAAAGTGATGGTTAGACCTGTTTATACAAGTTAGGTGCCATGCATGCAAATACCCCAGTTCCCCTTCTTTGAATGTCTTCTTGTACATGTGTGTATACATACATATGTGTTCATGTATGCACATGTTTGTGTGCCATGGTCTATGTGTGCTCCTGTGCAGGCCAAATGGTTTCCTTAGTCACCCTTTGCCTTATTCTTTGAGATAAGTTCTGTCACTGGACCTGAAGGTTACCATTTCAACTGGCTGGCCATCAAGGCCCAGCTATGCTCCTTTCTTCACCTTCCCAGTGTTAGTATTACAGGCACACAAAGTCACAACCTATTTTTACATGAGTGCTGAAGTTTAAGCTCAGGTCTTCATGCTTGTGAAGAAAGCCTTTGCTGACTCAGCCATCTCACCAGCTAGCTCCTCCACTGTTCCTTCTGCAACTATGCTCAGGATCTCAGAAAAAGGATGACAGAAAGGTCACTTTAAAATGCTATGGCCATATGATAACATCTGTAGAATGACATTTTTCCATTACAGCACAGCATGAAAGTCCCCAGGAAAAGCAACTGTAAGGTTCTAAGGTCCAACTTTAAGGTCTGATCTTCTATTACTTATAAGTTCTAGATTGTTACCCTCTCATTGTGTTTATCATCACACTACAGTTTGAAGAAGATGGGGAAGTAATATTCAAATGTTGACATGTGTTAACACCCATTTTGAACCTCTCACTTTCAATAGTAAATGGCACCTTCTTCACCAGGTTGCAGTAAATATTTTAACATAGGGATTTTGCACAAAAGTCCTTGCTGAACTTGTTAGGAGACCTCCCGTTTCGTTATATGATGCTAAACCTGTAATCTGATGAATATTTAGCAAAAATAATCACATTTGTTTTCCATTCTCTGATTTTGTGTTGCAGACATTTTCAGAGTTTGTTATTTTTAATGAGAACATAATAAAAAATCACCTTGGGGAAATGATGACAAGGCAAGCAATAACATTTCTGAAGATAATTATAAATTATATTGCTCTATTTTAGAGCCAGAATATTTAAGTGTGTTGATTTTGCATCAACACAAATATAAAGAGAGGGTGTTCTAACAGTCCACAACCAGTAATTCTTATGTGCTTTTCTGTGAGTCTAAAGGTCTACCTAAGGCAAACTTTAACCCAGGTTTACATAAAAACATGTGCTTACATCCTAGAATTTTGTTCAGCTGCTTGTGTAGTAACTAAAACTGGCCAGCAAATATACTCTGTTGAAGATGGGGAAGAAGGCTGCAAACCATTTGTTCATTGGCTTGATGCTACCTGAGAAACTGCACTCTAGATCTCTCATGAGACAAGCTATGAGAAACATCAGCCAATAAGAAATTTCTGCTTTACAAGCATGGATACTGCATCTCAAAGACATTAATGCTTTGCCTTAAACCAAATGACCAGTTAGGTAAAAATGCAAACCTCGGTTTTTGTCTCATAGTTTCTAAATCTGTCTTCACAACACCATGAAACTCTTTTTTTTCTTTGTTTTGTTTTGTGAATGCTGATTTAGAAACAAATATAACCAAAGATGAAAGTACTGCTTCTAAGGCCTGGGAAAATGATTGTGCATCAAGATATTTTTTCCCACTAAAAACATGTCCTTTATATCTGTACTTTCATTATAAACTCTGTGATTCCATGATCTCACAAACTTAATGGCCTATGTTAGTATAGAACTCCCTTCATAATAAAAAGGGAGGGAGGCAAACTCATTGGGGGGGGGGGTGAAGGAAGGAGGATGTGAGAGAGAGAAGGGGAGGAGGAGATGATGAAGAGCACAAGAGAGAATTTGAAGGTCGCTAAACAAATGTCTTTTTTGGATTCTTTCTTCCATGGCTCTGCTGGGAGTGGTTACAATGAGGCCCCAGCACTCTCCATCCTACCCTTCCTCTATTTGAGGCACCCAAATCTTTCAGCTTATGTGCCAAGGATAGCCACTTCCTGTTTCTGTCTCCTTTTGTATAGGATTGGCCAGATTCCAGATCCCTAGCAGGGACCCTCAAGCTATCACATGCAATCCAGGGTCCCAAACCCTGGCAGTTGCCTGACTCAAACACTGCAGTTACCCTATGCTTGCGACAGTCCCATGAGAAACTTTCCCCAGGCTCCTTGCCCAAACTGCTGAAAGCATCAGACTATAGCAAAGAAGCAGAAAAGCTGCATAGAAGCTGTGTCCCCAAATACCAGAGAGAGGAAATCAAGATTCCAACTCAGTTGAATAATGTAAACACCTCTGCTTAAAGAACATAGACATGACCAAAGAAGAGTCAAATCACTCCCAATGACTCATCATTGTACCATAGGTTAGCCCATTTGTCAACTTGACACAAGCTGGCATTGGAGTTATCTGAGAAATGGGACATTAGCAGAAAAAAAAAAAAAAAAAAAAAACACCTTCCCCAGATTAGAATGTATCCAAGTTTGTAGGACATTTTCTTAATTAGTGACTGATGTGGGAGGTCCCAACTCACTGAGAACAGTGCTTCCTCTGGACAGGGGGTCCTGGATGGGATAAGCAAGTAGGCTGAGCAAGCCACTGATAGCAAGCTAGCAAGCAGCATTCTCCTACGGCCTCTGCTGCAGTTCCTGACTCTGGTTCTTACCTTCACTTCCTGCCATGGCTTCCCTTCAAGATGGACTAAAAACTGTAAGCTGAAATAAACCCTTTCCTTCCCAAGAAGCTTTTGGTCATGGTCCTTATTGTAGCAGTAGGAAGCAAAGGAAGACAGCCTGCTGTGTAGCTGTTTCCTTCAGTAAGACAGGATGTAAACAACTCAAATTAACTTCAAGAAGTCCCTGAAATTGACCAGATTCACTAAGTTCCTTCCTCCAAGATACATAAACAGAAGAGACTGCTGAGGACCACATTCAGACAAAAAAAGCAAGCCCCAAAAAAAAAAAAAAAAAAAAAAAAAAAAAAAAAAAGACTCTTTAAACAAACAACAGCCTGTAAGAAGCAGGGACCATCAGAGCTGCTAAAAGGCTCAGACCAGCTTAGCTACCCAGAAATGACACAATCCTTTCAAGCTACCTTCAGGCTATATAATGTGTTCCACATCTCCAGCTTTTGTTAGCTGCAACTCAAGCTGTGGTGGGCTTTGGTGATGCAGCATCTGAGTCATTTCTGTTCCTCTAGATAATCACTGCTACATGTTCCTATAAGAAACCACAATAATACCCACTGGTTCACTAAGGTGGACATTGGTCCAATTACTGCCTTTACTTTGGTCTGTTGTGGGTTCCCTTTCTAGGGTAGTAGACTTACAGTATTGCAGCTCTCACAGAAGTCTGTCACAAAATATAGCCCTCATCAGAGAAACTGCTTTTTCTGCAGTAGAGGCAATTAACACAGAGACCCACAAATGGACAGTGTACAGAGAATAAGAAACTGTGGAATGCTTAGCCCTAAAGG